GCACACACAGTAAGAAGGCAACCCCCCTGCAAGCCAGGGAGAGGGCCCAGACAGAGCTGGAGCATGCCAGTACCCTCATCTCATGTTTCCAGCCTCCAGAACTGGAGGAAAATTAATTCTGTTGTTTAAACCATCAAACCTGTTATTTTGGTATGGTAGCTTGACATAATTAATTTATGAATTAATTTATGAATTAAGTAATGTATTGACGTCATAAAACTTCACCCCTAAATTTTCCAGTATGCACTTTCTTAAAACTAAAGTTAAAACTCCATATTTAAATTTCCTAACCTATAGAACCCTTATGTGGACATCTGCCTACCTGTAAAGAAAGTTGCACTGAATCCCAGTGTTGCCTTCAACTACTTGTATTATACTCTTATCTAGATTTGTTTGGACATAAAATCAAATATAGCCAGTATGCTAAAAAGCAGGGCTTATGTGACATAATTAGTACRCAGCTTTATTTTTGTCCTCTGGCCCATCATAGTTTATGTGGGGAGCACAGATTGAAAACATTGACAAAYTTCATAACTTCTCTGGTCACTAATAAGGAAAAAAAAAACCACTCAGTTCATTAAAAAAAAATAGCCAGTGCCAGGTCATTCAAACTTGCCAAATTCAGTTAAACTTTACCATACCTTCCTGGGGTATTCAGGAGATTGGAAGGCAGAGCATAAGATATTCCTCTCCTTCCTGATATTTTGCATCTATCCCTCCTTTTCTTTTGGTATGGTAGCTTGGATTGACATAATTAATGTATGTCAATAAATTAGCTCAAGTTTGTTTGTTTGTCATTGGTGGTGGCTGTAAGTAGGCTTTGTTTGGGTTTTTTTTTTAATCCCACCAGGGTCAAAGTGGGGAGACAGGGGATAAGGGTGGACAGGGAAATTCTACATTTGACTAATCCATCATGAGATGGATTTGAGCTCTCACTTCTTTGAGGATCTGTTTCCAGGGAACACACTCTGATACCAGGTTGAACCTCATCCACCTGAATCCACAGCAGGTGCCTGATTGACCCATATGGATTGGGCATCCCAATCTTTTCAGAATAGAATGTGGGTGGTATTACTCCTATACAGTCCTCACTACATTTTGGTTATCTCTAGGCTCTCTGGAARGAGGGATATGTGTGGCTGTAATGAATAGGAAAGAAATGGCTGAGGCACTGGATCCCAAACTTGACTGACTCAGAACTACTCAAAATATGTGCCAAAAGATTTGATTTCCTGGGCTCCAAACCCTCTGATTCAAAGGTCTCTCAGGGGTCTTAGGTATCTGTTTTGTAAACAAACTCTCAGAAAAAGTCAGGATTACTTCATCCATTCTGCCCAGCCAATGAGAAGCACGGAGGGTTTGGACATTAGTGGGGCAGACGGTGGGCTCTATCTCTGCTGGGTCATGTACCCAAGTCATGTGTCCTCTCTGAGTCCCTCTTGTGAAATGCATACTAGTTCCCTTTTGCTGCTGTGCATGTTACCACAGACATGGTGGCTCAAAACAACACGATTGTATCAACCTATAGCTCTGCAGGTCAAAAGTCCAACATGGGTTTCACTGGGCTTAAAACAAGGTGTCAGACAGGGTGGCTCTTTCTGAAGGCTGTAGGGGAGATCAGATTTTCTTGCCTTTTCCCATTTCTAGAGGCCACCCACACTTCTCAGTATATGGCCTCTTCCTCCATTTTCAAAGCTAGAAGCTCAGCATTTCTCTAACCCGGCTTCCATTGTTATATCTTTCTCTGGTTCTCTTCTTCTGCCTCCCTCTTCTGATTTTTTTCTTCCTGGTACTGGAAGGGCCTCATGTACACTACTGAGTTACATGTGCAGCCCTTTTTTATATTTTATTTTGAGACAGGGTCTCCCTAAGTTTCAGAGGTTGGCTTTGAACTTGTCATCCTCTTTCCTCAACCTCCATTTTTAAGGACCCATGTGATTACCCTGGATTTGCCTGGATAATCTAAAATAATCTTCTCATACATGCAAAGCCATGGAAGGTAACTTAGTCACAGGTTCTGGGAACTAGGAGGTGGACAACTCTAGGGGTCATTATTCTGCTTACCACAGACAGAGATGACAACTCGATATTGCTTGAAATCAGCATTTCTCAAAATTTGCTCCATCTTCCTGTGGCATCAGCATCACCTGAATCACCTGTTACAAATACACAGTGCAGGGCCATCCCTACCCCCCAACCTGGGTCTCAAGGGGGATCTTAGGGTACTTTCTTTTCTTTACATGTTCCARTTGATTCCTATGTGCACTGACATTTGACTCTTGGATAAATGACACCTTGAGTGTGGCAGATGCCTGGGAGGACTCAGGAGGGGAAAAGAGGTTTACATTTTCTGTTCCCCACCAGAACCTGATACCTGATCATGTGGCAACTTTCCCCCAAGCTTTGGAGACCGAGGACCCTGAGGAGGTGTTTCTCATGCCTACAGAATTAGACTGTGCTGCATGATGCCACCCAGAACCGGGTAAAACTTCCTCTGAGCCTTAATCTAATGCTCCAGGACACTTGGGGCATTATTCTGCCTGTCACAGAGGCAGAAATGACAACTCAATATTGCTTTAATGCCAGGAAACCAATAATGAAAGGAGCAAATTTACTGGCAGAAGTGATTGACCCTGCCCACTGGGATAGACAGGGCTGCTGCCATCTGATAGGGCAGGGGGATCATGTCTGAAACTCAGAGAGGACATGGGCCCCTCTGTATTTCCATGTCCCATAAATAAGCTATAGATGGACAAGTTCAATAGCCATAGCCTGATAAGGACATAGTAACTGGGTACTCCAACACTGCAGGTCAATCCCAGGTATGCCACAGACTGGCAGAAGTGCTGCCTGGGGCTCTAGGGGCTCAAGGAGGGATCATGACCTTGGGAACTTAATCAAAGTCCCGAGGAAATATGAGTCTTTAAGGGGTGGATTTTAGCAGGTAAGTTTTTCACCCTGCCTTGTAGTCTCACCTGCCTTCAAGTTCAGCACAGCCAGGAGCATGGTTTGTGCACACTCACCCCACACACATGCTCACTGCACACACCACACATCCACCACACACACACACACACACACACACACACACACACCACTATTTGTTCTCATATATCACACACATATGTACTGTATGAACATGTACCATGCACATGCCTGGAATGCCATCACACGTGCCCACTCACACACACATGCACACTCTGCATACACATACCATGTGCACACATATGCGCATGCATACACAATACTCTCTCACTCCTCCCTGATACCCACACAGACTCTTTGGATAGTCAGGACCCTGGTCTATAAGTAATAGTAGAATGTGACACCCATACACCCCAGTAGCTGACTATACGATAACTTCCTCCTGGAGTTTTGCCCTTGTAGTAACTTTGGAGAGCTTTAGCTTTCACCAGACCCAAGAATGGACACTGGCTTATGGGTTACACTAATAAAATGCACTGGCCAGAACCCAAAATTCTGTCCTCATTGTTCTCAGATTTTATTGGTAATCCTGCTCGGCAGTCTTGCTTGCTGTCAGATTCCTTCCTGAGTCACCTGCTGTGGCTGTGCCAAGAGTTGAGGGCAGACGTGATGTGGAGGCCATGCAGGCTCCAGGCACTGGGCGTCTGCAGCTATTGAAACCTCAAGGGTTTCTTCCTTCACTCCCAAGGTCTCACCCCTCTACAGCACCCACAAGTCCAGTTACCTCCAGATGTGTCCCAAATTCCTTGTGGCAGGTATCTCAGCAGATTCCTGTCTTCTGTGAAGGGGCTCCTCCCCATCCTTGGGAAAAATGTCTCCATTCCCCCTGGTCATACCCTAACAGCTTTTGCCACTCCTCACACATTCTCCTTGTCTTCCCATTACCMAGCCCTGCAGCTTCTTCCCCAGAAATAGCCCTCACTTGGGTCTGACCCCATCTCTTGCCCCTGCCTGGTATAGATCACTCAGCTGTTCCTTGCCGCTGCCACCTCCACAGGCTTCTGCCTGCTGCTTCTCCCTCACATCCACTCTTAGTGGATAAAGACTCACCAACCCATTGTGCCGGTGGTGGAGCAAACCTGGGTGGCCCAGAGTCGCATCCATGTGGAGATGTCATCTGGGCAACCAAGGCAGGGGGTCCAGAGGGATGCTAGGAAAGCCTTCAGGGGAACCAGGACCAGTATAGCTGGAGACAGTACCAGCACCTTCCTAGCAGAATTGGCGCTAAACCTGCCCTTATTGTGATACCCAAGGGACAGAATCCATCTCTTCCTCCTATCCTGGAGGAATTACCTGGTCCTGACCCCTTCCTCCTTAGTTCCCAGAACTTTTCAGCCTCCTTCATCACTCACTCGCCCTCATCAATGTCTACTGCTCATAGGGCCTTTGCCCTTGATCTCCACTCTGCCCAGAACACACCTCCCCAGGCTCCTCATCTTTCAAGTCTCAGTCTAATGCCACATCCCAGGAAGGCCTGTCTACAGTAGCCCCATCCACACTCTATCACTTCCCTATATTGGTTACTTTATGGTACTCAGCACTCTGTAATTGTCTTTTTTTGTTTGTTTGTTTGTTTGTATGGATGGCAGCCCTGTCTCCCCCAGTGGGCAGAGCTGATCACCCCTGTGGGAAGAGGAGTCGGTGGGGAGGGGAGTTCAAGCGCAGAGTCCTCCAGGAACAATGCTCATCAGGGCAGTTCTGACTTGTGTGACCTGGCAACAGGGGTGGGAAGCGAGCCGCAGCGGAGGGTCCCCAAAGCAGGACTGGACGTCTGCCTTGACCCCGAGACCCAGGAGCAGAGGAGAGGCCTGGTGGACAGAGCCACCAAGGGTACCCACGAGGCCGCTTGCAAGGCAGCGGGAATACAGTCGCTCTGCGGGGACTCCCGGGGCTCCACCCCGCGCCCCTCCCGCTCGGCGCTCCCCCTTGTGGCCGCGAGGGGGCGCCGAGCAGCGCTCCTTCGGGGCCGACCGCCAGGCGCACGGGCGGGCTGCACCGGGATCTGAACGGGCTGCGGGCAACGGGCAGCGCCCCGGGTCTGCGGCGCCACGGCTCTCAGCAGGCGCGGCGGGCGCTGCCCGTGGGCCGGGCCCGGGCTTCAGGCGTGCCGGGAGCCGGTGAGTGGTGGCGCGGCCAGGCGGGACACCTGGTGCTGCGGACAAGGGCGCGAGGTTCGCGGGCGCATGGGAGGGGCTGCAAGCGGCGGTGGGGCGCGGGGTGCGGGAGAGGTCGGGATGCTTAGGTGAGGGGCGGCGATCTGGGCGTGGATGGCTGGCATCCAAGAAGCTGGCGGGGACGCTCTGGTCTGACCCAGGGCATAGGTGCGCGCACGGGTGACAGTGCGCGTGGCCGGCGGGCCSGCGGGGCCCGGAACCGCGGCGCGCTTGAGTGTGAGGCCCGCGCGGCGAGGGGTGGACCGTGGAGGGGGCTGCGAGCTGCGTGGGAGTGTGCCGGSAGGGGCAGGGGTGCGCGTGGCGGGGTCAGCGGGGGCCGGGTCGCTGGGACTGGAGATGCAAGGAGGAACAGCGGAGGGGACCAGCTTAGGGCACGCCCCCTAGCCCGTTGAGAGAGACCGGTTTCTGCCGTGAGTCCCCCGCCGCTCCACTCTGCGTGAAGAACRAGCTCCCTTCAGCCACTCGGGTGGCAGGAAAAGCCAGGCTTCACCCCGCACTGGACCTCAGTTTCCCCACCTATGAAATGGGGCGGCACAGCTTACTTGTAGGGTGCTTGTGAAGAAGGGAAAAGGGCCTTATCCTTGGAGGAAGAGGGTGTTGTCACAGAAGCTGGAATCAGTGCTACCATCAGAGGGCCTTCCTGACGGTGGGAGCTGCTTGGGGGCTCTGGGTGTGTCCCCCTCGCTGTGAGAGCGTGCACGAACAAGTGACCACTTCGTTTCTTCTGTTTAGATTGGGATAAGGAGGGCTTCATGCTCAGCATGGAAAAGACCAACCTGGGGCGGAAGCGGTGAGGCTCCCCACCAGCTCTTACCTACTGCTTCCTGAGACTGTGAGGCGGGTGTTCTGCTGAGAGACAGAGAGGGTTCTTGGAAAGGTCTACCTGTCAGATAGATGCTGTATTTCCATTTCATAGCGGACATACTGAGGCTTAGAGAGTTGACAAGATTTGTTCAGTCTCGGGGCCATGAAGTGGCAAAGGTGAGGGTCCAACCTACCGACCTGGGGAGCGCTGGGGTTTTCCATTCATTTGCCTAGAGTATTCATTGAACACCTACTGTGTGCTGCCTACATTCTGCCCCAGTAAGTGTTCTCTCCAGCTGGTGTAGGAGGGAGGAGGCCATCCAATTAGGATTATCAAAGGAGAATCCCACCAGGTGTGGTAGTACATACCTGTAATCCCAGCTATTGGGAAGCTCAGATGGCAGGATTGCAAGTTAAAGGTCAGCCTCCACAATTTAGCCAGACCCTGTCTCAAAAAATAAAAAGTGTTGGGAACATACTATAGTGATGCAGCCACATCAATGTTTATAGCAGCTCTATTCACAATAGCTAAGCTATGGAACTAACCTAGGTGGCCTTCAACAGATGAATGGGTAAAGAAAATGTGATACACACACACACACACACACACACACACACACACACATAATATATATAATGGAATATTACTCAGCCATAAAGAAGGATAAATTATGGCATTTGCTGGTAAATGGATGGAACTGGAGACTATCATGCTAAATGAAATAAGCTAATCTCCCCCAAAACAAAGGCTGAATGTTCTCTCAGATAGGTGGATACTAACACACAATGGAAGAATGAAAGCTCTTTGGATTAAAGGGGAATGAAGGGAAGGGGATAGGAATGGGAAAGATAGAATGAATTCCTATGTTCATATATGAATACATGACCAGTGTAACTCCACACCATGTACCATAGCAAGAATTGGATCCTAATTAGATCAAGTTATACTCCATGTATGTATAATATGTCAAAACGTACATTACTGTCAAGTATACCTAAAAAGAACAAATTTCTAAAAATTGCTGTGGATGTAGCTCAGTGGTAGATAGCTCTTAGGTTCAATTCCCAGAACCAAAAGAAAAAAATAAAAGGGAAATTGGAGGTCAATGTCAGAGAATAAGTGCTTGGAAGAAAAACAATCAAATGAGGCAAATGGGGGCAGCTACTTAGCCTGTTCAGGGAAGATGTTCCTGAGCGGTGACCTCTGACCATGCTGTGAATGAAAGGATGGATCTCATGGGAAAAGTCTAAGGGAACAGCAGATTCAAGGTCCCTGAGGCAGGTACAGGTGGTGGACAGCAGGAGCTGAACCAAACAAAGCCAGTGAGAGGAGCTGGTGGAGTTTGGATTTTCATCTAGGTGCAGGGGGCAGACCTCAGAAGGTTTGGAGGTTGATTATTGAAAGGTTGTTCCTAATGGCTGTGGAGAGGTCTCCAGGAGGCAGGAGAGGGAGGAGCCTACTGGAGTCAACCTGGCAGAGATGGGACTGGGTCGTGTAATCATGAGATAGACAGATACTGGTGAGGAGGATCCAATAGGCTCTGAGATATGCCATCCACCCTCTTGGGCCACAGCCACAAGGAGGCCTGGGTCCGGGAAGGACCTGCAGCATGAGTTCAAGCACTGCCCCACTCCCTGCATTCACCAGGGTGTGTCACTACCAGTCTCCCATCTCCCTATGTCCAGTGGGGGATGAAGCGTAGTTGATTTAATCACACTTTCCATTTATTAGATCCAGATTTTGAATCAGAGTTGGAAAAACATTTCCCAGCTCAACTTGAAGAAATTCATTCATGTCTTCTAATACTTGTTTGATGTTTCATTTAATGTACAGACCTAATCTAAACTTTTCCCAAATGTCTGTCCCTCTATTCCAACTCCCATTTATTAAAAAATCCATCTTCTCTCTAGTGATTAAAAATGTACCTTTATCACATGCTAAACATCCAAAAGCACTGGGAGTGTTTCTAGTCTCTTTCACAGGTGTGTTTATTTGTGTGCTGGTGAAAGCATTACAGTGTGTTGTGTGCGTGTATGTACACGTGTGTGCGCATGGGTGCACTCCAAAACACGTGTGTATTTAAAGACAAGAAAGGCTTTATTCAAGACTATTGCAATAGTCTTGTTGTATTTTGATACCTGATTGGGCTGGTTTCTTACATTTATTTATTATTTCAAGAATTTCCTACCTGTTCCACTGTGTAGCTAGTATTTGCAAGGAATCATATTAAGTTTATGTTTCAGGAAAATGAACATCTTCATGAGGTTGTGCCGCCTCACCCAGAAGCAGGAAAATGTCTTTATACGTGTTCAAGGCTACTTTGGGGAGTGATTTACGGCTTTCCTCTCATAGGTCTTTCACATTCCTTGTTAAGTTTACTCATGAGTATTTTGTCTTGTTTGCTGTAACTGTTTCTTAAGCTATGTCTTCTAGCTGGATATTGTTTCTATATGTGTAATTTTATGTCTTCCCACTTTACTAAATTTATTCGTTGTTAATTTTATCATTGATTCTTAGATAGTTCAGGTATTCTGTCACCTGCAAATTCAAATAGTTTTTCTTTACTGCTTTTCATACATTCACTGCTTTATTTTATCCAATTAAATTGGCCAATATTTTCAATCAATGTTAGAAATTGGATGGACCTTGTCCTTGACCTTAGTGAAGAAGGCCATTGGCACTTTCCCCATTTAGAAAGATGATGACTAYAGAATGGGAAGAAATGGGTAGAGGGAGGGATGGATAGGTAAAATATTAAGGGAGTGTCTTAGTCCATTTTCTGCTCCTTTAAGAGAATACTAAAGACTTAATAATTTATAAACAATAGTTTATTTGGCTTATGYTTCTAGAGATGAAGTCCAAGATCAAGGGTCAGATCCTTTAATAACAACCCACTCTCAAGATAACTAACCCAGTGCCACAATAATGACATTAATCTATTGTTAGGCCGTACCTCAACACTGTCACATTGGGGATGAAGTTTCCAATACATGACTTTGGGGGACACATTCAAGCCATATCACAGAGTATCCATTGATTCCCATTTTAGTGGAAATATTTAATATTTGTGGAAGCCGTATATAGAAATGATAATATCATCTCTCCTTAGCACTATTAACATAGTGAATAATATTAGTGGATTTCCTTGTGTCAGGTCTGGGACTAGAGGGAGGAAAACAATAAGAAAAATATAGTAAAAATACTAAGCTATTCTTGCATTCAGGAAGCCAAACCCACTTGAGCATGATTTATTCTGTTTCAGTATGATTATATTAGTTATCAGTTGCTACAGAACAGGTTATCATCAACTCAGTGGCTTGAAGCAGCACAAGTTTATTATCTCACACTTTCTATGGCTCGGGAGTCTACACAGGGCTCAGCAGGGTTTCTGCTGGTGTTAGTGGAGACTAAGTTCCCACCAACCAGGGAAGAATTTGCTTTTCTACTCATTGTTTCTGTTGGCAGCATTTAGTTCTTTGAGGGTGTAGGACTGAGAGCTTAAATTTTTGCTGGCGGTTGGCTGGATGTCACTTTCAACTTTTGGAGGTAGTTCCWAGAGACCACCTCCAGTTCCTTGCCAGGTGGGCTTCCCCAGTGTGGCTGCTTACTTCATTAAACCAGCAAAGAGAAACTCTAGAGCAAATGTATTAGCAAATCAGTCACAATATAACACAACAAAACATAACTTATCATAAAATAACAGCATCACATAATCATGCTATCCCATCACTTTTGCCATATTCCATTGGTTGGAGAAAAGTCAAAGATTCCACCCATACTCCACAGTATGAATAGCAAAAGTCAGGCATCGTAGGTGGGTGCTGATAAGACCGTCCACCACTAGAGGGTTGGATTCTGATTGCTAATACTTATTTTTGTTAAAATTTCTCCAGTCATTCCTTGGCTTGACAAAGTTTAGCACTTGACAGGTTTCTTAAGAGCTTATGAGTATAATATTTCTTGATTCCTTTCTTCCTCTACCCTTAATATTTTAAGGATAGATTAGCTGGTTATAAAATCCTTCCTTGGCTCACACTTTCTTTCCTTGAATTTGTTAAGATCTTGCTATGGGTTGTGTGACCTACACATTGTTGTCAAGAAGTATGATATAAGCACACTTTTCTTTCCTTTGCAATTG